GGAGGTGAACCCACGGTGGTCCAGCCCCAGAAGAAAACCAGGCTCCTGGCCGCCTTCCTCTCTCTCCCCACAAAGCAGGATGAGCTTGGACTACTCTGGCTTCTCACGGAACTTCCTAGTCTGGGCGTGTACCCCGTGCATCCAGTCAAGCCAGGTGTCCTGGGGGGGGGTGGAGGCGGTGAGAAAGAGAGGGGGGACAAGGAAACTCTTGCCTCTGGTGGGGTTTCTGAGGGGCTGCCCTGTTCTCTATTCTTATCACCCTAGCTTATAACAGTTATAAGTTAAAATACAAATTTAGTTAAACAAGGTTAAAATAAAACATAAGAAGAGTGAAAATATTTAGAAAAGGCAAATTCATAGAGGCAGAAAGTAGAGTAGAGGTTACCACGGGCTGGGAGGGGCGGGTGGCTGGTTACTGCCTGATGGGTATGGAGTTTCTGTTTGAGCTGATGAAAAAGATTTTAAACCGGTAGCGGTGATGGTTACACAACATTGTGAATATAATTAATACCTTTAAGTTGTACACTTAAAATAGTTAAAATGGCAAAATTTTTGTTATTTTTTAACCACAATAAAAAAGTCACTAAGAAAAAGAAAAATATAAGAACGGTGAAATCCAATGCTGAAGTTTCTTTCCATCTTTAAGCCCTTCTGGCTTCCTGTAATCAGACACACAAGGATTTTTTCCCCCTACTTTCACCATTTAACAATTCACATAATTTGGCAAATGATACCGTGCCATTTATTAGAGATAAAGGCACCACTTTATGGACTAGTAAATTGCTCAATTTCCCCGTTTGACTCATCATCACCATCATCATTTTTCTCTACCATTAGTCAGAATTCTGAATAATGATTTTCAAATATAATTTTATTTTATGATCTCTATCATGAGAACCCAGGGTGGTACTTGAATCAGCTTTTTAAAAGCTTTACTGGAAGTACTGACTAATCCAGAAATCAGCTGTACAGAAACAAATGGAGGATAAAGACATCCCTGAAACTGAGTTGTGAATAGAGTGAGTTTTTCCTTATTTTGTAGAAACAATATTATTTACTCAGGATTTTTTTAGTCTTCCTGCTTTAGAAATGAATATTACTTACAGGAGAAAAAATAAAATAATTCTGTACTTTAATTGATATACCCATTTTTAATTAATGGTATGTCTAAAGATCTTGAGGGCTTATAATCACTCTGTACCCGAAGTTACTATTTTACACATGCATTAAATGAACATGTAATTAATCTCTCCTCCAGTTAAGGTTCACATTTCTAGGTCCAGGCTGAGGGGCTGCTGTACTCAGAACTGACAGACCTTGGGCTTACTTCCATTACTTTATTCCACTCTCATCGTTAAGAGGAAGAATTTAGAATTGCATTCTCAGTTACAAATTAGCAACATTGAAATTACTAAAGATAAAGCTATGTATTATTACTTCAAATGTTTGGCAGTCATTTTCAGTTTGCACTGACACAGGATTACTGCTTCTATGAAAACAATGCCATTGGCCATCAGATTTCTATTTGAACTGAAGCTGAACATGGAGATGGTCTAACCCAACTGAAGAGAACAGCTTGGCTCTGGAAGAGCATAAAATGTCCTAGAACATTATATATAGTTCATCAGGGGTTTGTTTTTTAGAAACGGGAGTTCAAGTGATTTCCTCTAATCAAATGAATGACTACTGGTGAAATTTAGAATACAAAACTAAGGCTTCCTATTTCCGGCCCAGTTTTCTAATGGCACAGACAAAACTAACGCTCATAGAATCTTACTTATCTTTTATTTCAGTTTCTTACCTTTGATAGCTCAATTATATATAAAAATTATTCCAGTATACTAAAATTAGGGATTTTTGTTTCTAGGAATGCCATGAACATTTATGTAAGTGATGTAAGTCTCTATGCAGATATACCTAAACCACAGAGCTTAACATCAGAGTGACCCAGCTCAGAGCAGAGACCAAGAGTGGAGAGGCAGCCGGGCCTGTGGCAGTGACCCTGCTGGGGCTCTAGGCCCTTCTCTGGGAGTCACAGCCTTCATTTTGCGATGATTATGACTGGGCGCTGCTCTCCTGCAGGGAACCCGTTAACACCTGCCCGCACAGCCCTGAGACCCAGAGGGCCACTAGCTTTGCTCCTGGGCCGTTAGAGACACTGTAAGAGCTTATTAATAAGGACTAGGTTAATTGGAATTTTTAAATACTTGAATAATATCTGGGCTCCACAAAGTCACTTTATGTGCAAGTGTATCCTTAAGCCATCAACTGAAAAAAGTAACTTCCTCCCCAGATTAACTGTATAAATAAAATAAAGAGTTTGACTTCTTAAGAAAACACATTATTTTCCAAAATAGTAAACCTGCCAGAAAAGCAGAGATCTGTTGGGGCCGGAGATTTGGTATATTAATTACAAACCCTCTCATGTACTTTTTAAAGCTGGGATTCTATTAGTCAATAACTGGATGGCCCAGTTTCAGTTATTAAATGTATCTGTGAGTGATAACACTACTACAAATTCCATAATTCATACTTTTCATTAAATCAGACAGGCCTAACCTAATTAGTCCAAATAAATGAAGTTTCAAGATACCCTTTAAAACAGAAGTCTATCTTCCTCTGCACACATTATCTGGTCTATTAATTTGCCAAATGGCAGCTGCATCCAACAGTTTGTGTTCCTGGTGGTGGCAGAATAAGAGAAGCCAGAGGGCAGGTCAAGCTCCAGAGCCACGATTCAGAGGCGCCTGGGGCATTGCTGATTGAGAACCACGTTCGCCTCAGGTACTCAGAGCTACTCAGGCTCGGGGGATCAACTCAAGTTTCCCCAAACCCCTGAGGGGCTGATTTAAAAGCCAGAACACCCACTTATTAATTTACAGTGGGAGACAGGCTGGCTCAGGGATGGGGCAGGGTGCTCTTACAGAGGGGAGCCCCCTAGAGACAAGCCCACCCCGGGGGACTAAATTAAACACCAGAGGTTGCTGGGCTAGCAAAGAATGAAAGCAGCGGGAGCCAGATTTCCTCAAGAGAAACTTCCATGGAGCTACAGAGGCCTCAGGCACGCACAGCTTTCTAAAGAGTGCAGCCTGGCGCAGAGGAGGAGAGCAGTGCTGGGTGGCCATGCCCGCTCCTCCCTGAATGTCCCCTCTGTGGATGGAGCGTGGTCCCCGCTCCTCCAGGTGTGCCTACTTTCACTGTGCCCACTTTCTTCAGGTTCCTTCAGGGCACCTGTCTCCTAGGAGACATACCTAGAAGCAAAACCTCAGACATTACCCACCAGTGGTTACACTAACCTCATTCAGAATTCCAGGGGCACCTGCCCTGGGAGAAGTGTGTAGAGTTGCACAACAGCACAGTTAGTGTGGACTCAGGTGAAACAATAACCTGGCCTCCTCCTGCCTGGCCAGGATGCGACCTGGCCAGCAAGATCCTGCTTGGGCAAAAGTATCGCAAAGGCTAAACACCAGTACACACACAGCCGTGGAACATCCACACTTCCGCATGGCAGCAAGTCTCACATTAACATTCTACAACATGCCATGCGTTACTGCAGTTCAGCCCACTGTGGAAGCGTTCTTCTATTATTACTACTACTACTACTACTACTACTACTACTACTATTATTACAGTATGTAACATAAAATTTGCCATCTTAACCATTTTCAAGTGTACCCTTCAGTAGTGTTAAGCACATTCGCACTGTGTGCAACCAATCCCCAAAACTCTTCATCTTGCAATCCTGAAACTCCATCACCATTAAACAACACCCCCATTTCTCTCTCCCCAGTCCTGGCGAGCATCCTTCTACTTTCTGTCTCTTTGAATCTGACTACTCTGGGTACCTCATGTAAGTGGAATCATACAGTCTATGTGTTTTTGTGGCTGGCTTACTTCACTTGGCAGAATGTTTTCAAGGTTTATCCATATTGTAGCAGGTGTCAGAATTTCCTTCTTTTCAAAGGCCGAATAATATTCTTTTATATATATAAACCATATTTTGTTTATCCATTCATCTGTCGATGAACACTTTCAGCTATTGTGAATAATGCTGCTGTGAATGTGGGTGTACAAATACCCAAATATCTTTGCAAGACCCTGCTTTCAGTTCTTTCAGGCATACACCCAGAAGTGGAATCACCAGATCAGATGGTAATTCTATTTCTAATTTTTCTGAGGAACCACCATACTACTTTCCACAGCAGCTACACCATTTTACGTTTTTTCTTTCTCCACAACCTTGCCAACACTTATTTTCTATTTTTTTGTTTTGTTTTGCTTATTCATAGCAGCCACCTTAATGGGTGGTGAGGTGAATTTGGGTAGAAACTGCTAAATACATCTCAAAATACTCATGTACTAAAAATAAAACTCTAAGTTAGGGCTTTAGAATTCCTAGATTCCAAGGAGCTGCACTCAGATACCCCACGACATTTGCTGTGCATGATTTGTGGGGCAGCTGGGGAGCATTAAGTCCATCTGACAAGACGGCAAACTGAAGGTCAGAACAGCAAAGCAGCTTGTCTCCCAGGGGCTGCCGGACTGGGATCAGGCTAACATCCTCTGACCAGTGCTCTTCCGTTACACTCTGCAGTGCAACAGTTTGAGGACTATGGCAACATGAAGAAAGGGGAAAAGAATCTCTTGGATTAAAACAGTGCTGCTGAGCAGAAAACCACCTCAGCTCCCTAAGGGAGCCAAACTTCCCGAAGTCTGAGTTCTGAGCCATGGGGCTGACCCTTCTCTAAGCCTCCAAGGCACTGCCCAGCACGTCCTGGAAGGACAGTCCTCTGAGGCTCATTATGGTCACCGAGACAAGCAGAGGTACAGGTGCAGAGGGCTGACGGGTGTAGCTTGTTTGTGGGGACAATGGCACCAGAGGCAGCACAGGGATTAAAGAGTTAGAAGCAGCTTCAGCCTAGCTGATGAATCCCCACAGATTTGTTTTTCTTCCCATAGGAGGGAAAAATAGTTCTGGCACAAAAGGAATAGGATGGTACCTGCAGTTGGAGCCAAAGTCTTGGCAGTTTCCTCCGACAACCCTAGGTACTCTCGAATGAGCTCACTCAGCCTTTGGTAGGCAACATCCAGGTCATCTACGGTAAAGGAGACAATGTGCTTTAAAGCAACAGAATTACATTCAAATAGAGTCAACCCATCGTAATGGTTTTTTAGCTAGATCTAATTTTATGAATATTGTGGTAGGCAGAATTCTAAGACCCAATGGTACTTCACCCTTGTATAATCATCCCAGCTTGAGTGTGGGCAGAACCTGTGAACATGATGGGCTATCACTCCTCTCCTGCAATTTTATTAGATTCAATGGCAAAGAGATATTTGTGAATGTAATTAAGATTACTTATCAGCTGCGTTTGGGCTGATCAAAAAGGAGATTATCTGGGTGGGCCTACTCTAATCACATGATCGCCATAAAAGGAGGTTTTTTGGTTGCAGAAGGCAGACCCTTGAAACATGAGGAGGACTTGATGGCCTGAAGACAAAGAGGGCTGTGTGGATAGGACCTGGGAATAGCCTCTGAAAACTAAGGGTGACCCTTGGCCGACTGCCAGCAAGTAATCAGACACCTCAGTCCTACAACCACAAAAAACTGCATTCAGTCAACAATGAAGATGTACTTTAGAGCAGATTTTCCCCCCAGTAACCTTACCCTTGCTGAAAGTTACTGACCTGCATTGATTACTGCATCAAAATATCCTGGGAAGTCCTGACTAATTTTAACATAAAGGTCCACTCTGGAGACAGCAAATTCAATCTCTACACGACTGAATAATCCTTTTCTCCTCAAGTAGCCCTCATATTTTTTCTTGTTCATGGGTACCACCAGGATATATCGAGGCTCAAAATAGGAATGTTTTAAACTTCTTACACCCTACGCATTTAAAGAAAACGTAATAAATTAGAACCAGGGACACAATTTAGAAGTCATTTAGGAGACATGAGACAATACAGGTATAATAAACAGTACTGTATTTTATTTGTATAAGTAGCTATTACTTTCCTACTAATATCTCAGGATTGCATTGCTTCTCTCTGTTCATCAAATATTACATTATCATTGGAAATACACCAATTCATTCTGCCCAGTTATCCTCTAATGAATCACTCTAATGAATCTGACTGTTACAAGAGAAAACCGCTAGATACAAATAGGTACACTCACAGCAGTATTGCATCTTTATTACTGGAAAGTAATTTCAATTCCACATTTCAAAAGGCACCCTTGCAGTCCCAGGAGACAGAGATCTTAGCAGAGAGAAAGGCTCTTCTGTTACATCTTTGTCATCAACTTGGGCCCTTCCTATTTTGAAACCAGCAACCTGGTCGGCTACTTCCTATGACATCTCACAGCTTGTCCTCAGAGCACGGGAAGGCCAACCTTGTGGTACCCTGGTAACTGGGAGCCACATAACCAGGGAAGCGGTTATCAGGTAGTGCTCTGTGGATCTGGAGGGTGGGGTCATGACTGCAGCTCTCCAGCTACTGTGACTCCACGTAAATCCCTCAAACTCCCTGAGCATCAGTGTCCTCACCTGTAAAATGAAACTTATTCCATTTGGACTCTAAACATCTCATTCCTACCATCAATAATTTAATTTAGTGCTCAAAATCATTTTAAAAAAATCAAGGGGAAGAAATACAGACTCTTTAAAAATAGTTTCTAAAAGATTCAATGATAAAAACAGTTTGGTAAATGGTTTATTTGGGAGAATCACGAATAAAGCCTGGTTTATAGACTCAACCTCTTGGAAAGGAGTAGGAGAAAGCTCTCAGGGAGGAAAAAAGGTAAACAGGGGCCAGCACGCAGAACCACTGAACTGGGAAAAGGTAGACACAAGTTGCTGGAGAGCTTCTGCACTGAAGGATGCATTAATTCCTGTTTCTGCCTTGTCCAAGGAAGACATTTTGGGAAAAAGGTCTTTTTTTGGCTAATTAGCATAGAAACAAAGTAAACCCTCTTAAAGATGTAAAACCAATCAATTGCAGAAAGATAAGAACAGCAGGATTTTGAAGTTAGGAAATTTAATGAGCCGGAAGAAACGTGACCAGTTTCACTGAAGTGAGGCAACACTTAGACCAACACAAGGAGCCAAAAAGGAATCACAGTCTCCTGCTTTTCAAAGTTACGGAGGAAAGAAGTTTTAAGGAAGATTCAGCTGACACTAAGGAATATGAGACCTGCCTAGATTTTGTTTCCTGTAAGCGTGGTCTAATGGCATCCTTTTTATCACTCTTCTTTCTGACTACAAAATGTAACAGTGCTCAGAGAAGGTAACTTGACAAAAAAAAAAAAATCAGCTAT